TGGGTTTGTATTGAGGAGTAACTGTGTCCTCAAACTTGGGGATCTCAATGCCTGCAAGACAACATTATTAAAACCACTAACTCAAGATAGGATACATTAGTTTGAACAAGAAACATAATAAATATAAGTTGAATCACCAACTTTAGATGATTGTAATTGCATCTTCCAAACAATATTAGGCAATAGGTATGACCTCCATAGATCCAACAGTGATGGAAGGTCATACATAACAACAAGGCTGTCTAGTGTTCAAACAAGAGAAAATTTCAACTGACTGCAAAGAAAATTGACAGGAGACAGGTAGGTGAAATTTAACCCATGAAAATATAACTCACCTTACTCACCCAAATTAGGATGGATTGGCTGGGCATATATTCATTGGTGGGTCATTTTGGTAAAAGATTGCAAGAAAAAATTCAGATGAAAGAGGGTAGAGGTCAAGTAGAAAGCACCCTCCACCTCCAACCTGACAGTTGTGGGTTCAAGCCACCATGTTACCACATCCAAATAAAGATAAGAAATTTATGTATCCAAAATGGTGTTGTGGAACAATCTGAGAATAAATTAACAAGAAGCCAAGAAGACTGATAGGGAGGAGCAGAGTATAAATTGAAATTGTTTTTCCCTGTGTCACTGAAATAAGGGAAAATCTAAGGGTCTTATTAAGCTAGAGGACGTGTGTATTTCAAACAGGATCTATGGCATTTCGTGAAAATTCTGAGACTAAAAAATCGCAATGGATTGAGTCCCTTGTCAAACACCATGAAATTTCACTCAACGAGCAGTTCAAAGAAAAAAGAAAAAGGAGTAACAATATTTTGTAAACCTGGTCAGTGGTCAGCAAACCAGATGTAAAGCAAGAATTTTAGAGCGCATACCATTAGTTTTGATAGGAAAGTTGCAGCTGATGTTGGTTATACTGGCTATTGTTCGTTGCTCATTCACCTTATAACAAAGTTAAGACTAAGTTTTCTAGTGTGAAAGGTTTGTATACATGACCTAGCAGTTGGAGAAGGGATGTCTCATTTCTTTGGGTCCAAAACATAATTGTAAGCATAAAAAGAGACAATTTTACACAAAACAAATAATTCATCAGAACTGTCCACAAAGATACTTCACTCTTTAGTTCTTTAGGATTTTATGCAAGACCTCAAGTTCAGACTTTACTTTAACTCCCCCTCACCCGGAGCTACTTAAGGCATAATCTTCTAAGGGCTCGTTTGGTTGGGGAACAAGTTATCTCAAGATTGTTATCCCACACTCAATGTGGGATAAAAATAACACTACAATCCCGCGATGATATCCCAACCAAACATGGGATAAACTCTTCCTAAAATTTATCCCGGATTAGGTATCTCTTATCCCCGTACCAAATGAGCCCCAAGTCTATTACCCTCTTGCTGACGGACAAAATCCAGGTTTTCTCACAGCTGTGTCAAGCTATCCAAAACTTAGTGCATCTGGTGGACATGACAGCTACACAGAGATATTAAGTCTTTCACATACTTAAGCCTGAGTAAAACAAAAGATAAAATCTTTCATAGTCAAGCAAACCAAAGTGAAAAACCTGGACCTTAGGCCATGTTTAGTTCTCAAGAGTATACTTGGTATTGTGAGTTTGTCACTTAACTTTTATGTAACAGGAATTCCTTGTGTGGCTAATTCTTTTTTTCACTTATTAATTACCAGTTAGTTCCCAGGAACAGTTCTATTTTCAGATAAATTATGGCAGAACTGGATCCATCAAGTTCAGGCACCTCACTTAACCTTCATTGCTCTAAACCTTCTCAGCTTCTCTACTGTGGAAGCTCAAACACACATTCGCCCCAACTTGCTACCAGCAAGAATATTTAACTTTTAATTAAAAACTCAAGAAAGTCCTCACTCTGGAACCTCCAGTAATTTAACATGACACATGACAGGGTCAGGCAAGCAGTAAATAATATGCATAGAGCTTATTAAAAAACTGCTCCAATACTAGATAGTAATATTCTCCGAATTATGCACCACATCAAACAACAAATATAACCAAACAAGCACATGTCATTCTTAATAATCTTCATTACGTAAAGAAAATGGAAAATGATATCTTGTCTGACAAAAGAAGTTGCACGAACAACTCATTCCAAAAACACTTCATCCTTAGCAGTATTAGTGATGACCATGCACTCAGTAATTGCTACACTAAAGTCCTTCAACAAGAATTTTAGGATAACTGTTTGGAAAATATGCTAGAAGAGTTAAACTTTTCTTTTAGCGACAATGATTTGATTATTTTCCATAAAAACACAAAGGAACAAAGATTAGGAGCAAGAAATCCTGTGCTTGTCTTCACTAGAATGAGCTAAAAAGAAATTTATGGTCAATATCTTGATTGAACTCTTATAATGCTGGATGCTATCACCGAAGAGACTACACAGGACACATAGTAAAGAAAAGATCGTAAACGCAAAAAAAAAACCTGATGTTCCACATACTTTCATAGGCTTCTTTGTACATGTCTACCAAGCGAGAACCAATTCCTTTCCTGTAATATTCCCAGTTTATGGGCTCAGGCTCCTGCATGATTAAGAAGTGAAGATCCCTTATGCGTTAGAGCTTCTAAATTTATCCAAGTTCAATAAATTAAACACATTAGGAAGAATTGGATCTCAGAAGTGTAACGATACAGAACAATGATGAATGATCAACAAACACCAAACTCAAATCATGCCGCCAAGTTTCCAATGCTTAGTTAGAAACTAAGTATGGCAACAAGAACATTCTAAATGGTACTACAATCAATTCGAGCAGTCAGATTTAATCCTTCAACCAACACAATTCCATACCTCGCACGAGAATATATAGCCTAAAATGACCAAGCTCTTGATAGAATCAATCAATCAAGCATGCCTCAATCCCAAACTAGGTAGGGCCACAATACAATCCTTTGTACACATTCCACTCTCTTCCAGCTATATAAATATATAGTCATAAATAAATGAGCATAAAAAAATTAGAGTTTCAATCAATCAAGTAAGCCTTAATCCTAAACTAGTTAGGGCCACAATTCAATCCTTTGTACACATTCCACTCTCTTCCAGCTAATATATCATTGAATGCCCAATAACAGTTCTCTAAACCAAAAGTTCTATAAAGCTCACACTAATCCCTACACTGACAGGTAAATCTCCAATCAAACAAAAACAACTGCTTGCAGATGTCAATCACCAAAACAATCCATCAATGAACACTAAATTGTTTTTTTTTTTTAAATGACAAGTCAAACGCACACCTAAAGTGTCCCGATTTTTCGAGTTTACCTATCAGGTGTTCGAGTTCCTTAGTTTCCTGCCTAAACTATCACCAACTATTTATCTAAACACACCTCAACTATCAATTATTCCTAAAAGATGGTGATATTTCAGGTAGAAAAAGTGAACACCTACTGATAATTGGTGATAGTTCAAGTAGTAAACTCGCACACCTGATATTAGATACGGAACTCGAAAAAACGAATAACCTAAATCATAGATCCAGTAATGAAACCCTAGATCTACATAAAAAGACAATCAATACATAATCAGAAACGAGAGAAAAATAGAGAGGTACCTGGCTGAACTTGGTTTGGAGTTGTGAGTTGACATCATCGAAAGCACGACGGAGGTTAGAAAACTCCTTGCGAGCTTCATCGGTGACAAGAAGCTTCGCCATTCCTTCCCAATCAATAGTACGGCCGGCCTTGAATGTCACATCGGCGATCTTCTTCACTGTTCCGCTCATTTTCGATCTCTTTTCTCTTCTCTCTTCGTAATCTTTTCGGCTGTCTGTTTGATATGGTGTGAATGTGATGAGATACAAAGGGCTTCCCCTATTCTCCGAATTTTAATTTAATAATTTTAACTTTTACCCCTTCTTTTTTCCTCTTTTTCTTTTTCCTTTTTTCAACTTTTTTTTAGTAGCATGGGATTGAATAGTAATTTTAGTCTTAATATTTTTATTTATTTTCGATGTGCAAGTACTGGCCTGAAGCTACCATATGCTCGATTATGATTGAATGCCTCTAAGTTAGAAGTCGGGTTAGGAACAACGCATGCGCCCGTCATCTGCCGACCCGCAGTAGGGGCCTCTGGCCCAAGGACACGTTTCATTGGCAAAGTTGTCGCGATGAAAGTGTCATGATGACCGCCTTAACTACAATTTCCATCGAGCAAAGGTGATGTTCAATTTTTTGCAAGTTGTATGTTTAAGTTACTTGTAAATTATTTGGTTGATTGTAATCTTAGGAGTAGAATTGATAAACTAGATTTTGCCTTCAAAACTAGTCTAATCTAGCTTTTTATTTAAGTAGGATTGTGTTAAAATGAATGAAGTGTATAAATCATTATATATCGAAATGTCAAACTTATTTAAATGTTCCTACTGACCATTGTTAAAAAAAAATAGAAACAACCTTCTATCTATTCCACTAAAACTCTCTTGCTTTGCTTTCCTGTAGTACCACTAAACGAGTGATGTCTTTATTTTGCTTCAATTTGTCACTATCAAATCAATTTAGCATGTTAACAAATCAACAACTAATAATATACAAAACTGGACCAAACCAACCGATGAACACCCCTAGACTGCGGAGTATAACAACAGCCCTACAGACCTGCGGTGCAACAAGCATCATATGATAGATTCATTTTTGTGAAGGGGTCACAATTCTGGGAAATAAACAGGAAAGACGTTGAATAAGCAATTTTTGTACTTACAAAACAACCGATAATCTGTCTTTTATCATCGAAAGGATGGTTTGGCTTTCTAAACACAATTAGCCTGGGATACAACACAGAGATATATACAACAAAAAGGGAGGCAATGTTTACTGATGAAGTGACCAAGACAAGGGTCACATAATACCACAAAATGTGCTAATTTATCCAGTAAATTCCCAAAATTGACCAAGTATTCCAGATAGTCGAGTTCCAATATAAAGAATGATGATGAAACATAGCACTAAGGCTCCACTATAACATTCAGAAGTAGTAATCATCATAATCGGTTTCATAATCAGTTTCATAATCATCATCGTCATTGTCATCGTCATCGTCATCGTTATCGTCATCTAAAATGTTGTCCTCATCCCAAAGCTTACAGGAGCAAGTTGCTTTCTTGTCCACCCACGGTGCTCCGCATGTATAACAAAATTCATACCCACATCTGAACATACAGGTAAAAATGTTGTTAGTGTAATATATACATACGATACAGTACAACACAATTGTAATCAACAGAGGTAAAGAGAAAAGTTTAGGCCCAGTAGGTATCACGTACTACCACAATTGAGGAAGAACGAAACATCTCAAGACAACAGATCACTAGTTCATCTTTGGGTTCTATTACACACAAATATAAAAGCAAAAAATTAAGAAGATAATAGAGTCACTCCTGCTAACCCATCCGAGTGTTGTTTATCCTCCTAGCACTAAAGCACATTCCAAAATTCTTACTGTTAGCAGCAAAAGTAAACTCATATGCATTAATTTATGGACCCTCCTATACATGGCTCCCAATATACAGCAGAATTAACCAAGGTTAATTATCTGTGGGCCGTGGGTACTGATATGATCAACTAAAGCAGAAAGTGAAGGTACTAACTCAAACATACAAGTTTTAGTTGGAAAGTGATCACCACCATAAAATTATCGAGACATACTGGCCAGAATTGTTATACAAAAAAAAAAAAACGCAGAAATACTTCTTACAAGGTCAACTGATATCATGGCATCAGTATTATGTATAAGAACCAAGGCTTACACAAGCGATGCCATTTTCCCATTATCCGCAAAGAGCACAGACCCACAATTTCTTTACGTTGGAAATATGTACCTCCTTACTGAACTTGGAGAGTAAACTTCTAGTAAAATGTTACACAAATATATTCACTGAAATACTCTTTCTGATAAGCATATTTACTAAAATACTTAACACTATGTCCAGGGGATATTGAACCAGCCTGGATAACCTATAACTCAACCGCTCCACAGACAGGAAAGGAGGGGACAGAAAAGAAACACAAGTGTAAGGCCAGAACAGGCACCTCAGTTAAAAAAAATCTACTAATATAGCTGAAAGCCTGAAACAATGTCTGAAATGGAACAAGCAATCGGAGTGCAGCAATAGCTAGTAGGAATATTTTTTTTAAGTGTACAATAACAAACTCTTTTGTAGATGAGGCCTTGAGTGCAAAAAGTGTCATGTTAAGGAAGAAACAATACATCAATAGAGGGTAAAATGACAAAATAAAAGAGCAATCAAAATGTGGCCCAAAAGTATCAGCAAGGTACATGTAGAATAATGCATATATATAGTTTGGTCCAACAGAAATGTCCAACATCATAAACAAGTTGTTGTTTTCCTAATCAGTTTTTTTTTTTGCAAATAGTTATATATCTTGTATGACAGTAAGGTCATATCAAAGCAAAGAATAGTTTAGACAGCATAGATATATTTACAGGACATACTAATTGCATCAAGGAAAAAGACACTTATTTGACTAACGTGATTCCAAAATTTGTGAGTCAACTTATTTCATGTTTGAGTCAAACAAATGGAACTTGAACACCCTTGTCTTTACCTGCAAGTTATGTGGTAGCACCCTGCTGCAAGTTCAATCATGTGGTTGCACTTTACACATTGGCGCCACAAATTCGTTTCTGCCAGGGTTTTCAACTTAAGATCTTCCGGAGGATTAGGATTTCTCTTTCTGTACTCATCGCACGCGATATTGTAGTGCCAAGGAACTTTGCAATTGACACAAAACAGGCCATTGCATTTTGTACATTTACTGATTCCAAGTCTTTCAGCTCCCAAAAAGGAACCCTTAGTATATTCTAAAACTTCAGATTTTGACATTAGTGCCGAGCACTTTGGGTAAGGGCAGTAAACTTTTTCAGTTACAGGGATAGAAGCTTCCTTGATGCGTTGCTTCATAATATCAATTAACTTTGGTGTCAAAATGTTACTGCAGCTATCCAGTTTCAAATCTGAATTGCACTCTGCATGAGGACACTTAGGCACTATACCATGAAGCAGCTTCACTTCAACATGTTGTTTCATACAGGAGACACAATAACGGTGTCTACAATCATCAACCGAGAAAATCTGACCAAAATTAGTCTCTTCAAAACAAATAGCACAAGTTTCGTACATATTCCTTGAAGCAGCTGTCTCTGCGACTTTCTCAACCTGAGAAGTCATTGCCTCTCTTGCAAATTTAAATGCAAACTTAATTTCATTTCGAGGCACAAGAGACGGCTGGCAAAATGAAAACTTTAGTCGAAGCAAAGCCACTTGATTTAGTAGAGCAGCAACCTTCCGCTGTTTGGCTGACCATCTGCCTGTAACCTACAGTTGCCCAAACACATAACTTCAGCAAATTAAGCATTTTGGAAAGCTTGAGTGATATTCAGCTGTTCAATATATGACGGCAAAACCAAACAAAACAGTAGTAGATGTTCAATATTTGTGCTAATACTTACCGTACCATGTCTACATTCCCTTTTTCCTTTATTGTAGACAGACAAAAAAATTCAACTGACAAAGACAACTAAATAATTTGAGCAATAAACTCTTCCTTTATCCGGATAGGACAGCTTAAAAGAAATGACTGCTGAAGGAAACCTTTGACTAGTGGAAATCATAGCTCCTTAGATGTATCATCTATGTAGGCTTACACATGTGAGCTCATTCTGCTCACAATACCAGGAAGATAATGAAGTGACCCTGTACTATGTTAAGTCAGATAAACCTTCAACTCTTATTTATAAACAAAAAAAAAAAAAAACTTTAGCTCTTCAACTCCAGAAAATAAAAAATGTACTTGTATTAATTTACATTATGATCAAAAACCAACATTGTATCATGGATGTATCCTGATATGTTTTTGTTAATAGAAGAACAGTGTGCCAGCAGATAGCTAGGAATGAGCTCTAGTGACTAATCTTCTAGAGTCCCAGAAGTCAAAACAGAATTGCTGAAAACCCGATATATCTTACCGCTCCTAATCACTTGGACACTATGGTATGAAGCTTCCTGATGTCCGAATTTATCTGACACTCTCTTTGATGTTCTATACTATTTGACATCATTTATATACAACTTCCAATCAATGTGGATGAACAATCGTAAAATTGGTAAAGTCTCCCTTTATCTTTTCATAAATCAAAAAAGAAACAAAAGATCCCAGCAAAGCTAAAAAAATGTTAGGTGATGAGCTATACGGGTATCATTAATGTCCTTATAACAATCCTTGAAACATAAATCCTGTATAACTAGCCTATGCACCAAACAACCTTTGAAATACCAATATTAAAACACCATATAAAATTAATTGATTAAGAAATAGCTGGACTTACAAACTGGAATATAGGAAAGTAATCACAATAGAAAACGACCCTTCTCAAATCCAAGGCGATTGCAGCATTCAAACCTTCAATAAGGGCCTTAAACTCAATGCACTGGCGATTCATTGCATTTCCAAAAAATGGCTTCCTCATTTCGAACAATAATTCATCTCTGGAATCACAAATGGCAACTCCAATCCCACCAATAAACACATTTGGAGGAAAATTCTCCACTAAACCCTTGAAATAAACCCTAAAAAGCTCTTTATCCTCACTTTTGGATGTTCCTTCTCCAAAAGGAAGCTCAAAATTGTCTCCATTATCCTGCCACTCATCCTCCGGCATACGAAGAATCTCTTGAGCAACACGATGATCATGAATTCGACGCTGAAGGTCATCACGCATAATCCTGAATTCCAATTCGCTAAGCCTGCGATCATCGATTTCTCGTTCAAGTTGCAAGATTTCCGAAAATTGCACGTCGGCGAACTTCGAAATTCCGTCGTTCGCTGAAGAGGAATTCGGTTGGGGTTGAAGTAGGGTGGGGGTAGGTGGTGCAGCGGTGGAAGTGGAGGGTTGCATAGAGAGGGAGACATCGATAGCTTCTTGAAGTTGAAGTTGATAAGCGAAATCAAAGTCGAGATCGACGTCACGCGCCGCCATGAGTTCCCGGCGTTGCTCGGCGGCGAGAGTTTTCAGGTCTTCAGAGTCCATGTCCATTTTGTTCTAAACTAGAAACAGAATTGTACAAAAGAAGTAAAAAATTGTTACTCAATTTTTTACTTTCCCGCTAATTAGAATAACATTTGCACCCCTCAACTTGACAGCTTTCTTACAGTTACATACCATAAGTTTGTAAAAATGCTACAACCTCTCTAAAATTGCTTGAAAATGTAAGTTGTATATTTATCCACCTGCCATAGAGAGTGTATCAACTTACTTAAAGACGCAATTAAAATGATGAAATTTCCGCACATGTTGTTTTTTTATTGAACATGATATAGCAAAACAATTACAAAAAAAAGAAAAAATCAATAAGAAAGTATTCTTATCACTAATGATTATTTCTATTTTACTGTTTTTAAGATAAAGAGAATTTTTATGAGTCCTACTTTGACTTAAGCATATTGTTTTCTTTTTTTTTCTCTCCTCGATCTTCTTCCAAGAGTGGTAACATGTAATTCTTTCGCTATTTTATACAATCTTTTATCATCTATGTGTGTATTGTCATAGGCTCATAGTCACCTATTATCACCTATAACATTGAATAACTATCGATTCTATTCACCGTTTATATATATTTTTAACGATTTTTAAAGATTTAAAATTTTCTGTAACTTTTTATGATTTGATATTTGTTTTGATACATTTATAAATACTAGTTTTGACGCACGTGCGTTGCACGTGAAAATCAAATCATGTACCACACTATTTTTAAAAATAATATGAATAATGCTAAATAAAAAATTAGTCATTCTTAAAATCTCTTAGTTACACCTCTTAAATAAACTTTCTATCCCTTTCCCATAGTGCATTACTTTGTTATTATTGTTTTGTAAGTGTTCTTACTTTTAATATAATATAATATAATATAATATAAATATTGATATCAAATATAGAAGATATACTAAATTGGATGTTTTATGTATTAGATTAATTTAACATTTATGTTATGGAGTGTTCTAATTCACTGAACTTTAAAATTGTCAACGTTTGTAAATCAAACATGAGGTTTTAAGAGGAGAAGAATAGAAAACATAAAAAACTGTAGTTTAAAAATGTAAGGAAACCCCTCTATTTATAGTTTAAAATGTGTAGTATTAGTATGTGCATATTGTTTCTTATCATAAAAATATAGAAGATATACTAAATAGTGTGTTTTAAGAATAATAATAATAATAATATATTTTTAAAACGTAGTTTAAATTTATGAAGGCCCTCTTTTTACAGCCAACAAAGGGTATTGTATGAAAAACTGCTCGTGTTGCCTTATCAAAAAGAAGTCACAACCCTTCAGAAAGGTCAAAACTCATAACTCTTTGTAAAAGTCGCAACCCTTCAAAAAAGTCACAACTCTTCGGAGTCACATCCCTTCGAAAAAGTCACAACTCTTCAGAAAAGTCACAACCCTTCAAAAAGGTCACAACTCATTAGAAAAGTTATCACTCTTCGAAAATGTCAAAATCCTTTCAATGTGAAAAGTTGTCTGCCTTTAATATAATATAATATAATACACATAAATAAATATAATACAATATAAAATATAGAAGATATACTTCATTTGGTGTTTTAAGTTGGGGGTATTATAATAATTTAACATTTAAGTTATTAATTCATTCTTTTAAGGTAGTATAGATAAAAAAAAAAAAGAGATAGATATAGATTGGTCTAATTTTAATTTGATATTAAATTTAAAAAAATAAATAAGACTTTTAATTTAAGGATCATATGTAGAATATATAAAAATGTCTTTTAACTTTATAGTCTTAAAGATGCGTCCTCACCCCCAAGGAAAAAAAACATTCTATATAAAACTGAATAAAAATAAAAGTACAAAAATAAATTGAAAATGAAAGGGTACTTATTAAATGTAATTTGGATTCTTCAAACAAGTTATTGATCAAATACTTTTTCTCCAACAGTTCGAGACTTTTCAGATTCTGAACACCAAGTTGTAGTTTATGCAACGGAAAATTATTGAACTTTTTGTCAAGGAAGAGTTGCTGCAAAAGTATATTTTATGGCTATGAAAATGAGTGTTTATATTTATTACCACGATACTCTTCTCATTTGAAGTTGAGTTATTTCATTTTCATTTTTTCATCAATTTTTATTGATCTATCTAATTTACCCACAAAAAAATAATATTGTAATTGCATAATCCAACAACTCTCACATTCTTCCATTTTTTTAGTAGAAGAATAGAAAACTTACAAAATTTGTAGTTTCAAAGTGTAAGAAACCCCCTCTATTTATAGACAACAAAAGATAGTATGAAAAAATGCTTATCACGTTTTTTCAGATAAGTCACAATCTTTCAGAAAAATCACAATTTTTCGGAAATGTCATAACTCATTGAAAAGTCACAACTTTATAAAAAAAAGACACAACCTTTCGGATAAGTCACTACCCATCAATGTGAAAAGGTGTTTGCATTTAATATAATATAGTGTATTTAAATATAATATTAAATACATCATATATAATGAGTTGGGTGTCTTAAGTTGGGGATATTATAGTAATTTAACATTAAAGTTAGGGAGTTCGTGCTTTTAAGGTAGTATAGAAGATAGATAAATCCATTTAAAGATTTACATTTTATTTGAAAATAACAATAATAATAATTGATCCAATACAATTAAGAAGATTTAAAAAATATTAGCATCCCTCGTTATCGCTATGTAATGGAATTTGCAGATTGTAAAAACTTTTTTGAAGAATCAAGTGCAATTTTTGACAAATTTATAGCAATTTGTTTTTATGACTTTATCTAATGTATAAGATGGTAAAAACAAACAATGAAATAGATTGTATATTGAATGCTAACTTTTATATAACATAAATTAGAAGTATTATTATTCAACTATACATAATTTACTATAAATGATTACTAATTAAGTACTCCCTCCGTTCACAATTGTTTGGCAGGTATACTAAAAATAGATGTTTAAGATTAATTGTCAATTTAAACAATCAATAAATAATTAGTCACTTTTTTCCAATTCTGCCCTAATGATTGTGTAGTTCAATTGAAAAGTTATGTGGGTTTTTGGTATTCTTGATATAGTAGGGTTATATTAGTTAAATTACACCTTGTATTAAATTTTCCTTGAGGGATGTGCATGACCTTACCCTGACAAACAATTGTGGACAGAGGGAGTAGCTCATAAAAATGACTATAAGTTAGATAAGTGGTATGTATATCAAATACTTGTGCGTTTCAACCTCTAAACTTCGAGCTCCCAGATGAATTAATAAATTTAAATTACTAATTATATTTTCAGGTTTTTGATTAAAAAATTATGTGAATTTATGTACTATTACTTTAAAAATAATTTAGTTTTTGCTGCCATGGAGGTAAAATTTGAATGAAATTACCATTAGATATTATTTCTTCTAAGTATATAAAAAATGATTGAGCATTCCGTACATAAAAAATTGGATAAAATTAATGTTAAAAAATAGGGATAAGGGCATGAAAAATATTCAAACTTTGATCGAATTTGTTGTTGCGATACTAAACTTTCATGAGGACCTATTACTTCCCTAGACTATTTAATAGTGTATTTTTTTATCCCTGAACTATTTAATATTGTATTTTAAAGGTATATATGTATCAACGTAGACACATTATTATATATAATTTTGCATTATTTTTTATGTCCACGTGGATAAATATATATGTTTAAAATATGGTATTAAATAGTCTAGAGAGGTAATAGGTCCTCATGAAAGTTTAGTATCGCAACAGTAAATTCGACCAAAATTGGAGTATTTTCAGACCCTTATCCCTAAAAAATAGGTAAAAATTTAGGAAAAGACTAAAAATACACCAATATTGCAAACGTAAGGGACTATTAGTGTTCCATGCTAAATTTTAAGGATGACTTTATGTCTTAATCCAAAAATAATGGACTATTTTGAGCTATTTCTTATATACGTGCATCACTTTTTTAATTAAAATTAAGTACTACTCTATTGATCGCAAAATTGATGAGTATATTTCCCTTTTCCATATATATATAGAACACCTACCCCCAATTCCTTCAAGGTTTTGCGTTCCCAGTACCAAGTTCTTCACTCTCTCTATCAGTCTTCTCACATATACAACAATGGCGGAACCCAAAGTCAAATACGATCGACAGCTCAGGTGAATTGTTTGCTATACTTTTAAGGCTATGCTACGTTTTTTTTTGTTTGCTTTCGGTTTTTGTTATGATCTCTTTTTCTACCCAATTACTTTCTGAAACCTGTTACTACTCTACCATTGAACTTGTAGCTCTTACTGTTATCGCAGTATCATAGCAGAAATCATAAAATGCAGCAAAATCATATATATAATAGAAATATCAGTTGATTACGACTCAATCCTAAATAAGTTGAGGTTAGACAGGTAATGCTCTGTATCTAATACACTATATTGAGGCTCATTTTGTTCCAATAATAGGTACTTTTGAGTTTTAAGTCAAGGATGAGAACCATGTCGTCTCCCAGTCATATCCTAATGGAGATAACATTTTTAGGTTACTTTTTTTTTTTGGTGCTGGTGTTGGAGGTAGTAGGTAATCGTAGAATTAGTTTTGAGTTGCGTGCAAACTGATCAGAACACCACAATTAGTGAAAAAAAAGGGTGGAGGGAAGTCCTCCAGGTTTAAGTGTGTACCAAGTGGAATATTTTAGTAGAGAAGGAATAGGTGCAGCATCTGTGAATTTTTACATATTATCCTTACAGCGACGGTGCAAAATTTGTGTCAAGCAGTAGTTGCATATATTCTGGAGTTACACCTAGCTTGGAGTAAGTTTATAGTCAATTGTGTTTAGTAGATACATGTTTAGTGTTGTTATTTGGATTGTCAATTGGATTATGCAAAACATGTTTCTCTGATAACGAGGTTGTAGTAGAAGGTATCAAGTAGTCTTTGAACAACAATTATAAATTATCCTCAATAACCTTCACTTTTTCATCAATAGTATCAGAATTAAGCTTTTAAAAACAAAATTTAACAAAATCCAGTTTATATTGAGGGGCAAGGACCATGGCTATAGATAAATGACACTATATGATTCCCAATATTTCTTTAGAGAAGTTGCCATCTCACTCATCACTGAATCCTTACTATTTTTGTGTTTTTCCAATAACATTTCAATTCTCCATACATTAGGAAGATACAAAATTTTCCATGGGGTACTTGCATCCGGAAAAAAGTCTTAATGTCATTAAATGCCCTAAAAGATGTAGCTACAAGCTCAACCCTTTTCCATTCATCTTCAAAAAGGCCATGTCTAAAATCAAGATTAACCAAGTCATAATGAATATACACCTGCTTATACAAAAGAACACTTTCAATCATTTGATTGGTGGAATTCCACCGAATAGGCATATCTTGGCATAACTTTTTACAACATGGTAGACCAAGGTTACACACTCCACAAATTTCACTGTTTTTGTTTCTGAATTCTTGATATACTTAACATCTTCTCTAGTTTTCTCAATCCGCCTTAACAATTAAGTTAAAAACGTGATTTCCAGAACGAGCATGAACAAACTTTCCCTCACAAACTAGTGAACGCATTAAAGACAAATGGTTTTTCAAATTATCCACCACACCATTATTGCAAGTAGCATTATCTAAAGTAAGGGTAAATATTTTCTTTTCGATTCCCCATTCTTATAGAAAATCAATCAATAAATGACCTAAAACTGCATTCGAAAGTGGAGGAGGAACATGACGAAAAATCAAAATCCTCTTCTGAGAAACTCAATTTAAGTCCACATAATGAACTGTTACATACATATAGCTATTAGATACTAATGAACTTCACATGCCTGATGTCAAGCACACTCTACTGGATATCATCGCAAGCTGGAATACATGGAGAGTTGATAAGTCCATCAAGAAAGTCTGGGTGATGATCCCTGGAGTTATTTTTTGGTGTTTATGGACTGAAAGGAACCGTAGATGTTTTGATGGGATCTCAACTCCATACCACTCTCTTTAAGCTAGATGTTTACTTATGCTGTGCAGTTGGGTTGATTTAACCCTTGTATTTAGCACTGAATAATTTCTTGACTTTGTTAGCTTTCTAGTACTGGTTTGAAGATTGTAAAGGGGCTTAGAACTTTTGCTTATGCTCTCTGTGAGCCCTTTTGCCTATTCTGTAAGTTTGCATCTGCTTGATGCTTTTTAATGAAATACCTTACTTCATAACAAAAAGTAGATATCATCGCAAGCTCAGTTTTTAGAAGTTCTTTTTCTCTTGCATACATATTCAGGGTATCTGACTTGGCTGTGTTTCTTGATAATGTGCCTCACTATTGGATTTAAATACGAATGAATGTCCATGATGCCCTTGTGTTCTACAAAACTGAAAGCAATTATGCATACATATGGACACTTCATATGACCAATGATATTTTCTCTCAATAAGGTTTTTTGATCGAGTGGTTCACTTTTAGGCTTGAGCCTCTTTTCCTTTATTCAAAGAATGCTTTACCGACAAATTTTGCTTTAGATTTGATGTTCCAGATGTAGGGGCCATTATGCAGTCTTGTTTACATTGCACTTTAAACTTCCCATCACTAGAAATATCAGGCTCAAACCTAACAAAAGAATCTCAAACAACAAAAATTTTCCTTTTGCCTTGTTTTAACTAAGTTGAAGTACTTTGTTCGCAAGAATCCGCATTACCTTCCATTGACATTCCTTCCTAATCCAACAATTACATATTATGAATATTGTACACTCTGAAAGGGAAGCAGACAAAGGAGCACATGCACAGTAGTTTTTGAACAGAATCAATAACAAGCAGGGAAAAATCACAATAAATAATTACAAATCACCAGCCCCATTTGTCCAATTTTTCTTTCTCTAGAAAGAAAAATCCAACCACCTCTTCACCACCACCATCCATCATCCTCAGTAATAGAGAGCAACAACATTTAAGATTACACAAAATTAAATCAGAAATTAAGTAAAATAGAAAATATTAAAGAGGAGTGGGGAATTCCTATTAACCTAAAACGTCAATAAGAAGAAAAATGAGGAGGTGGAGGTAACAATCAATGTGCCTGATTACTCTGTGAGGTAGTGGTAGGAAGGGAGTAATGATTGAGGAGAAAAACAGAAAAAAGAAAAAGAGGGAGAGAGAGAGAGAGAGAAACAAAAATGGTGGCAAGGGACTCTACGGAGAAGTCACCGGAGACTGGACAGTATTGGCCGGATCTTGGGTGGTGTTGGCCGGAGGAAGAGGCATATGCTATAGCCAGTAGAGTCAGTAGCGCATTTATTTTTCGATATGGATAATTGGTATGTTGTAGGTTTTGTTTTCCATTTTATCCATATTTTAAGTGGATAATATGGGTTGACCCATATTTAGCTCATTTTTTAAATGTCACATATCCAACCCATTTGAAATGGGTTGTTTGAATGGATGGCCATTTTTATTTACCCTTTGCCGACTCTACTTAGTGGCATATAAGGCAAATACAATGTACATATCACACAAGACACATATCATTTGATGTGTTAATCATATGTTTTTGATGTGTTAAGCATATGTTAACTATAGGACTTGAATTTATTTACCCACGCTCATCGTGAAGTTAGATACTCCCTCTATTCCAATTTATGCGATGCACTTTCCTTTTTCCTTTTTAGTATGTCCCAAAAAGAATGATACCTTTCTATATTTAGAACTGAAAAAGGTCAAATTATGCCTTTTAAGTATCTGAAATTGAGTAGATATTCCCTTTGTTAATAGTTTAGCTCAGGTATGCTCTTTATTTGATCGGAACCCACAGTTAACCTAATTAGCTGATTACTAAGCGAAAAAGAGCCAAGTATGCCCTTAAAGTATGCGAAATAGCAGATAATAATGAAGCTCTCTTGCAGGATATGGGGTGAGCAAGGACAAGCTGCGCTGGAGAAAGCCAGTGTCTGCTTACTTAACTGTGGTCCAACTGGTTCCGAAACTTTGAAAAATCTTGTTCTTGGTGGGGTTGGAAGCATCACTGTTGTTGATGGTTCCAAGGTTGAAGTGGGTGATCTTGGAAATAATTTCATGGGTATGTAACATGGTTGTATGTTTGCATCTACAGCTTTAGAAAACAAACTTATTTTTTCTCTCCTATTTCTGGTAGTTGATGAATCAAGTGTTGGCGAATCGAAGGCAAAGTGTGTGTGCGCATTTCTTCAAGAGTTAAATGATGCTGTTAAAGCCAAGTTTATAGAGGATTGCCCTGAGGAACTAATTGAGACGAATCCATCGTTCTTTTCTCAGTTTACCTTGGTCATAGCTACACAGGTCACATGAATCGTCTTCTTCTCATAAAAACATTTGATTTTGGCAGGATCCTGTGTTCCCAACCTTTTTTAGAACTTAGATATCTTTATCAGGAAAGCTTCCTTATATTTTTTTAAAAAAATTTGGTAATGCTGTATTCCTCAGCATTAAGGATATGCTGGAGACCTTCAAAAGAGGAACAAAACAAAAAAAAGAGAGAAGGGGAGAAACTACTTACAGAGAGCCTAACAGATCTACACTGCCTCCCTGCATATATATATGTGTGTGTGTTATATTTATATGATGTATACTTACTCTCATATAGTCTTATAATACACACCAACTGTATCCATTTCTTTTCGTGTTCGTTTTGAGAGAACTTTTGTTACAGTTTCATTTTAGTAGAATCTGCTTTATCTGAATTCTGATTATGTTTATGACCGGAGAATTTCCAGAAAATTCTATACTGTGTAGCATGCCAATTTTGAAGAGTCCTGACAATTATGCCTCTTGACTAGCACTTTGCGAGTTACAATCATTTGAAGACACTTCTTATCTACTGTGTAGTATGTTGAATTTTGAGTGTATCTGTACTTCTGAACTAGTACTTTGCGAGTTGCAATCTTTCCAATTTTTCGATACTCTGAAATATGTTGAATAGGATGATATTTGTTGCCATCTCCTTTTTGAAACTTGAAAGAGGTAGGAGCATGTTGATTTGAAAAAGTGAACAAGTAGTTTTGGTATCTGCATAATTAGGGTAACAGGTTATCCAGTTTTTAATTGTAGAAGCAAGAACAACACCCTTCTCCCCCTCAAAAAAAGAGAACAAAGATTCAAGCAAAGTACCGATCTGTTTCCTTTGCCATTAGGTCATTTAAATGCATAATATGGCTAATTGTCTATCAGCAGATACCAGGACAAGGAAATTTCTGACAATTTTGTGTTTTGCTTTGTCTTTTCTATTTCAGCTGGTTGAAGATTCCATGGTGAAATTGGACAGAATCTGTCGGGAGGGAAATATTATTTTAATATTTGCACGTTCCTATGGTCTCATGGGTCTTGTCCGGATCAGTGTGAAGGTAATGTTAATGCTGCTTTCTTGCTATTTTAGGACTCATCCAACTTTGAAATTCAGTACTGATAGAGAACTGTGGTCCAGACCAGTGACTACCATTAATCCATTATCATGGATTTCTTGTCAGGATCGTTTTTATTGTGAGGAACTAACTTGTAGAGAAACAACTGTCAAGTGATAGGAGCAGAGTGAAACAATGGATGAGCAAAGAATTAACAATGAGTTTGGTTGATAAAGCTCTCAGCAAACATGATATCATTTCTGTGTTGACCAGAATTTATCTTCTATCTGCAGGAACATACAGTAATTGAATCGAAGCCTGATCATTTTCTAGATGATCTTCGGCTTAATAACCCATGGCCAGAACTTACGAGGTCAGCCTTTTCTTTGTGCTTTCCTCTATGCTTGACATGTTAGAGTTCGACAATAAATAATGATCTGTTCACTTAGCACCATCTCTTATTTTTAAACACATGCACCCTTGTGTCTTATGTTTCTTAGGTTGATTTTGTGGAATGGGGTGTATATGCCAGGAAGTAGGGCCACCCAAGAGTGTAGTATAATGATCAATCAAGTGTGTATAAATCCCGGAGACCAAGATTTGGATTTCAGTAGAGACAAAAAATCACTTGGTGATTCTTTTCATCTGCCTATGCCTTGATAACCGAACTTACCTGATACTTGTGCTGGTGGGAGGTAGCAGGAACCGGTGAAATAATCGATATGCACAAGTTGGCCTGGACACCATCATTGTTGAAAAAAGATATTCTAGGGAGTAGAGGCTATAACATTATCCTTTTCTTACAAGTTGCAGATGATATCACCATATTCTTGTCAGATCATAAAAGCGGCTTCATTTATGATCTGATAAGAATATGGTAATAACTTGGAAGAAAAGGGTAGTCCTACTCCCTAGTATATCTATTTTACATTGCCCGGTAATGTCCAGTACTGCATTGGTTTGGTCTTCGATGGGTGGTGCCAGGCACGATCAGAGAAGTATTGGTTAACTGGAGATTTAGAGGATGAGAGAGAAGACACAGGGCAGGGGTTGTTGCTCTACTAGAACCTATGTGGACTATTTGGAGAGAGAAATAGGAGAACATTTGATAGTATAGTGGAGGACTATGTACACCTAAGAAATAGCATCCTTTTCTGTATTTCCTCTTGGTGCACCCGTGAGGTCCCGGTAGATATGTAGGTATATAGAATATTGGCAGTCGTTTGTAGAAAATCACATCTTTTTATAAAACTTTTTACTTTTCAGTGTACTTATTGTAAGTGAGTGTTTGATGCCCTTTGTGTATAATCAGAGGAGTATTGAATGGAGGATAACTGATGATTTCTAACTTTCTTCTTCGTTGTTGAACTTCTGAAATGGCTTTGAAGATGAAATGTTAATATTGAGGGTATTTTTGTCTTTCTGGATGTTTATTCAGGTATTAGTAATACCTATCTTGTTTTTCCACCATTTACCCGGTAGGTATAAAACAATACAATATTTGAGGTATAACTTATACAGTATTAGCTATGCAGGAATTGAGAACACGAACCAAACACTGGATTAATTAATACATAATTTTATAGAATGATTATTTCATCTAATACACCAAACCAAAATACCATATGTTCTTTTTCCTTGTTAGAAATTCCGTTTCCTCCCCATTAAAAGAAAGCAAAAGATAAAGAAAGAAAGGGCTGATTTCATACATATCCCTTACAGGTTCACAGAAACGATTGATTTGAACACAACTGATGCTGTTGTACATAAACACACACCATATATTGTTATCCTTGTTAAGATAGCAGAGGAATGGGGAAATACTCATGGCGGAAATCTTCCTTCAACCAGGGAAGAGAAAAGGCAATTCAAGGTCATAAAATATTTTTTATATGCTTCTAAAATTTCATCCTTAATCGTTCTATTTTGGTCCATCTAAGGTGATTTGGTTTATTTCTTGAATGTCTTAGGATTTAATTAAGTCCAAGATGATCACAGCGGATGAGGAGAACTATAAAGAAGCCATGGAAGCTTCATACAAGGTCTTTTCTCCACGAGGAATTGGTGAGTACTTTTGCTAATTGTGATATATTAGAAACTATAATGTTTTTCCATCTCCTCTAAATGTTATTGGTGGTGACTTCTCATAGTCTGTTGAGTCTTTGGGATGCAATCTTAATGATTCAAACCTTGTTTTTAGTGGATGGTGGTTTCTTTTCACTGACATTGTATCCACATTAATAACAAAGAAAATCTGCAGTCCATCTATGTTTTCAAATATTTCTTTAGGCAGCTGTCATCGCGATGCATGGGGACAATCTTATGCAGTTTCGAAGAGATTTCATTGTAGAAGTAAGAAGATCAATATAAATATTTTCTACTATAAAATCTCTCAAAAACCCTCAGGGGTTGGCCTGCTGGCAATTGACTTGAGCCTTGGGGTTTGCTCCCTTTCAAGGTCTCAAGTTCGAAACCCACTAGGTGCAAACAATTTCTGAGGGCCATCGGACTGGGTAAAACCTGAATTAACCGTGGTGCACTTGCGGGAAACTCCTTGCCGAGGGCCTGTGCACCCCCGGGATTAGTCGGGGCTCAAAGAGACTCGGACACCCGGTGCAAATCAAAAAAAAAATATCTCTCAAATCTCTTGGAAGCTGCATCGAATTAAGCCCATAACCAAGCCTTGCAGTATTCCAGCTCTAATAATACATGATTTGAAAATTTTATAGAGAGTACAATTATTGTTCTTCTAAATTAAAATCTCTGGAAATTTCTTTGAAGCTGCACAACACTTTTCATCTTTTGAATTCCATTTTAAAAAATATATGGGGTATTTCTCTTTTACTATTGAATAAAGATATTCTCCTAATTGTGTGTGAATCTAGAATTATGTGATAAAACAAGACTAGGATGTGGGGTGGGGGATGCATTGTGTTCTATTAAAAACTAGTCGACTAGAATGGACATTTTCTCTATCTGCAGATAAACTCAATAACTTCAGAGTAGTAGTTAGACGTACCAAGATATATGAAGTAAAGTAAAATCGACATAGATAATTTCTATACTAGTTTGCGTACTGATGTGGTACCTACATCCAGTCTCCTTGAGCAACAAAGTTATATTATTCCTTCTCAGTTTTCAGTCGATTACAGTTGTGGTTTTAGAAATCATTCACCAACAATGATTTTCTCTGAACTCCTTTCAGTCAATTACAACTGTGGTTTTAGAACTCTGCTCACCACCAACAATTTTCTCTCAAACCTTTGGTTTTCCAAGCCCTTCAAAGAAACTTAACTCCTGACACAACTTTTCTCTTTTCACCTCAGACTTTCTTTTTCTTCAATGCAATAGGATAACTCTGTAATAAAAGTCTTTCGGAGTGATAAATATCCCAAAGAATAAGTGGGTCTAGAGTTGGGATGAAGACTTCCATTTCTAACTTGTAATGGTATCATAGTTACTGTATATACTTAGTTCATCAAACAAAACGAATACTCATGAAAAATAATTTATCTGGAACTTGATATTATGTCGGTTTCAATATAGTTAGGCGGAATCTTAATTTGGAACATGCATGATGAGGTTGGAAATGTATAATTGACTTTCTCTTTTGTCTACCAGGTGCAAACTTACAGAAGATTATTGATGACAGCTGTACAGAAGTTGATTCAAATTCATCTGATTTTTGGGTGATGGTAGCAGCACTGAAGGTAACTTGCATTTTCTTGGAAAAACAATAGTTGGAAGAAAGGGGGGAAACAAGTTATACAATTAATGCAACTCAGTTAGTTGCATTAACCTGATTAAAAGAAGAATTCATGAGTTGACAGCTCTACTTAAAACATGATTTTCCTGCTGATGTTTTTGTTATTCTTGTCCATTTCTTTAGCTCTAAATAGCAAATTTATATCTAAATCAGTCCATACATTTGATAGCTTTAAGTTGATTGTAAAGCGTCGAAGTACCAGTTCCACTGGTTCTTCTCTTGGTGAGGCTGCTTGTACATGTTTTTAATTTCTTCATTTAAATTTTCCTTGCGTGGCTTTTCCTTTAAAAAGTGAAAGGGGGCAGGAGATGTTGGGAAGAGCCTTCACTAAGTTCTTTACCCGAGTAATGCTAGGCCAAAGGCTTTAGCTTTGTCCTCTATAGTGCTATGGTCCTTTTGACCTCTGTGTCTTGGTTGCTAGACCACATTTGCACAAGAAAATTTGAGTTGCTAAGTTTTCTAGAGAAGTGTAGAATATTTTGGGAACTAAAGATTCCTTGAAAAATAATCTTCCCATTAGTCAATGTCATTCTTTTAATTTGTTTATATGCTAATTTGTATATGCATTATTCTTTTAGGATCCACAGGAAACTAGCACCTTATCTCTCCTTATCTTACTTCAAAAGTTCGTTCTTTTTCTTTTGCAGCAACTAAATAATCGTTGGCAACCTTTATCAAGCAGCCTACTTAAGTTCCCTTATTGATATTTCTTTGCATTGGTTGAAATTGATGATCAATGTGATTTATTGTTTTTATCTCTCTAGGAGTTCATAGCCAGTGAAGGTGGTGGGGAGACACCTCTTGAGGGGTCGATACCAGATATGACATCATCAACTGAGTGAGTGGTTTAAGTTTCTTCACAACACATTAATTTTTTTATTAAAGTTTACGGGACTTCGTTTATTGATGCTTATAGTGTTGACTCTATTGCAGATTGTATGTAAACTTGCAAAAAACCTACCAAGCCAAGGCCGAGGCTGATTTTCTTGTTATGGAGCAAAGAGTCAGGAATTTACTTAAGAAAATCGGTAGGGATCCAGCCAGCATATCCAAGGCAAACATAAAGAGCTTCTCTAAAAATGCAAGGAAGCTGGCTGTAAGGGCATTTCCTCTATCCCCTTTCATTAGTTGCATGCTCATTCATCTAGAATTGCTAATTTGTGCTACGTGAATCTTCTTTCAGTTTGACAATTCTGAACACATTGTACTTCTTGCTATAGAAACCACCATATATCAATTTGTTCGCACTCTGATACAGAGTCAGAGGGATTCCTCTGATTTTAAGTTTGTGATCCTGTCTGTTTTTCTCTTTTCTCAAAGCTCTTTTTTGTCTCCAACCCTCTCTTCCAAGTGGTAAACTTTGGCTTCATTCTGAGGAGCCATCTAGAAAAGGCGCTAATTATTAAATGGGTCACCTTGCTTAGCACATGCCTTCTAGGTCCTTCACTACGGCTAGAAAAGGGGTGGGATCCTGTCAGGCAGACAGGCAGAGGGTGCTAGGTTGGAAACTCACATTTCCTGGTCTTGCCCCGCCTATTGATTCAAGCAGTTGTCTGACAGTGCTCAATGGCTCAGAAGAAAAACTATATGCTTCACTAAGTGTCTTCAGTTACTCTGTTGGGGGAATAATCTTAAAATCTCCTCCTCTCCTACATGCATGATTAATGATTTTGGTGGTTGATTTTGTTGCTATGTTAGTGATAAGATATTACAATAATGATGCTTTATTTTTTCAATATATATCAAGGTGATGACTGTTGGAACCAAATTTTCAAGAAACTGTACTGACATGATGATGCATGTTTTGATATTAAAGTTAACAACGCTTCCCACCACTAATTGTCAGCAAACTCCATTTCAAATTTGAGATCCTTATTTCTGAATGGATGTTTTAGTTTGTAGTCATTAAATTTTCTCTTTTAATTATGTCAGGTTTGCAGATATCGCCTCATTGAGGAGGAGTTCAACTCTCCTGTCCAATCAGAGTTACAGAAGTATCTGACAAATGAGGATCATGGGTATGTAATTGCTTACCGTAGGAATATGGTTTGACATGGTCGAATCACTTCAAGTTGGCAAAATCATCTGTGATATAAATTGAAGTAGAAGGGGCTTCTTGGGATCATTTAAGCTATTTGAACCCACATGATCCTTTCATGATACTTTGATTGTTTTGTGATACCAAATAACAGGACTTTGCAAGAAGCCAACTCTCTTAAAGTACTTCCTGAAAAGTAAGTTTATCCAAGCTAAAGCCCCCTGCCATTTCGTGGTAGATTTCTTTTTCTAGATCCATTTTCCCAGGGCTTCTAATGAAGTAACATATGCACTTCCAAATGTTGAAATATAGATTTTAAAGTTATAATTTAGGTTATCATGACCTTTCTGTTGAAGTAGGAGTATTTTGAGTTGTTTAAATGAATCTCTCTTCAAGTTCTCTGCGTACTTGACTTGATGAAGTGCACTATTTAGTCTAGAGGCCTCTATGTTATCAGCCAACTAGGGTTTGATTGAAAACTACTTTGCAAGTGATTCTCACTTTTTGTTAAGCAAGACATAGAGAGCAAAAAGGTAACAAGAAGTCATATGACTAAATTCCTAGTGATGCTAATCAAAGCGTAAGTGGAAGCTTGGTAGGAATAAAATAAGCATTGCCTTATGGATGAGAAGTTGCTGATTCATATTATATTAAGTCTTTTTTGGTTAGATGACTAAATTTTATCAAGCAAGGATTAGGATGGAGCAGGGGCGGAGCTATAGTTTAACTTATGGGTTCTGCAGAACAACTTTGGGCCAGACTTTGTATTTGAGTTTAAATATCCACTTGGTATATATAAATAATTTATCAAGAATCCAGTGAACTGCCTTTCGTAGACTTCAGAACCCACAAAACTCAAAATCCTAGCTCTGCCCCTGGGATGGAGTTGCTTCTGAAGAGTTACTTTGTTTTGTTTCTGTTGGTTACCTTACACTTCGTCTTAAGTGTCTTTTGGAGATTGTGTATTTTCTAGTTCTTGCAGTAGTCATGCTGATAGTGCACTGGTGCACCACATATTCATATCAGTGGTACCTTGTACTAAGAAATGGTAAATCAATGGTTAATTGGGAAAAAAGTAAAAGAAAAGAGAGAGTTGTGAAATACTTATATTGCTAGACCTAGAACTGCAGCTACTTAGTCATTCGGGATGTTTGACAGGGAACTGACATTATGTTTTTCAGCCAAAAGATATTTGATAGTCCAATCTTTTGCTGGTCTTGGGTATCAGACTTGAAAAATATTAGTGATGTTATACTGTTCAAGCTGAGAAATATTTGGGATGTAATATTGTTCAAGCTTAGTTTGAAATGCTTTCCACCGTGAAGTTAGGATGTGGAATCAGAGAAACACTGGCTACAGTTATAGTATTCGATGCTTATGGCTTTCTGATGTATCTGTCAGTTCTTTTCCCATGAGTGGACCACCTTTGGCATCTGAATGTAAGGGGAAAAATAAAGAAATGAATATAAAAATAGAGTTTAAGAAGAGTCTGACTTGAGAGATTAATTGTTGTATATGTTGGCCAAAAAGAAATATTTCCTCATTTATTTTCTTCTGTTAATTTGAACCCTGTAACAAAGAAAATTTTAATCATCTGCTTTACTCAGTCCGCTGATAGTTGTCGACATGAAAAACTTTCCAAGTGCATTCATTGTACAGTATATTTATTTGTTCATTTAGTTGATATTCTTGTAGACAACAGATATTCTGTGTGCAGAATGGACACTCAAAGCTTATCTTTTTGTGAATTTGTTAAAATTTTGCAATAAGAACTCTTTCATTTGGAACTTTATTCTACCCCTTTTTATGATAGTACTGCTGCGGGTCTTTATATTCTTCTTCGAGCAGCTGATCGGTTTGCTGTTAACTATAACAAATTTCCTGGTCAATTTGACAGGTAAAAGCTGATGATTTTCTCATCCAAACAATTTTATCTTTTTGAAAAAGTTTATTATGGCTCGCTAACCTTACGAAATATTTTGGTAGTGAGATGGATGAGGATATATCCCGGTTAAAAACTACGGCTGTTGGCCTACTCAATGACCTTGGTTGCAATAGCTCCGCCTTATCAGAGGACCTTATTAATGAGATGTGCCGGTATGGTGCTTCTGAGCTTCATGTCGTGTCTGCCTTCGTCGGAGGAGTTGCATCACAAGAAGTAATCAAGGTTTGGATCTCCTCCAAATATTTTCATCTTAAATATTGTTTTTCATCAAAACTTCTAGTTTACTGGACATATAGCTACGTGCCATAGGAGCGGTAATCTGAGGTATATTATGTTGTATTTGCTGCAGCTCATCACGAGACAATTCATTCCCATGTCCGGGACATTCATCTTTAATGGGATTGATAACAATTCCCAGCTGTTGTTGCTATAGTCTCCAAATTTACAGGCATGTCCTTTCTCTCACTTTTAGGCTGCGGTTTTAGGTTCGATGGAACTGATAGTTTTTCGCTTTCACTCCCCTTGGCAGATTGCATGTTTGACAGATCTCAGTCTCTGTGTTTTTTCAGAGCTCCAACTTTGCAAGTGAAAAGCAAAGTTGCCATACTTCTTTGATTAGCAGTAAATTTAGGATCAATGAAAGAGGTTTAACAAGAAAGTACTATTTCCAGTTTTGCACACAAACAATATTATTTCCAAGGGATGAAAAATGCTACTTTTCAGTTGTAAGTAAAGAGTTTAACTTCTATACACTAATACGTAGTTGATTGGGAGTTTCTTCATCTCGACCCACCAATGAAACCAGAGTCTACAGAGTTGGTTATTTTGCCCCGATTTTCCCCTTCTTCATTTTCTTGGTTGATTATTCTCAAGGGAGGAGGAAACTGAGTACCATATGCTTGGCAATCCTTGGTAGAGCTTTATAACTTATTTATGATTTCGTGCTTAACACGGTAAACAAACAAATAGGTGGTCTTTCCAGTTAGGTTAAACAAAAGCTTTCCCCTCACATCTCGGTCACTTTTACCTTTTTGTTAATTTGTAATTAAAAAATAATAGAAAACCTTGACAGCTAAATCAGTTACAGACTTACAGTAATTGTCAATGTTGTGTTTAAAAATATATTACAATGGACTGAGAATGGAGGGAATGGAGGTTTATACTGGCATGATAATGCATATTGAGTTAAAATATCTTAATAAAAATACGTTAATTTTCTTAGTGACATTGTATCTTTCTCTATCTTTTGGTTTTCTATCGGGTGTTGAGTACCTTAATTGGGGCTCGACTAATTCAGATATGGACCACGTAAGGTCCATTTAAGGGAAGCGTCCTTAGCATGATTTTTCTGTACTTAGAGTTCAAACCTAAGCCTTTAATTAAAGGTGAAGGAATCTATTCCATCCCATACATAATATGACCCTTGTTGGTCTCTTTCGTTTTGAACTCTCTGCAATGCCTAAATTAATGGGAAATTGTACGTGTCACTTTCTCTAAATTAATGGGCTAGTACCTAAATTTCTTGCAAGTTTTTCATGTCTTTTAGATGCATTAGGCAAATAGCAGAGACAATTATAAGTAAACTGGATATAGAAGAAATAACAAGTAAATATTGAATTTCATATGACACCATAAAAGTAGTAAACAAGTTGAGAAAACTAATGTCACATCATATTTTTATTGGGAAAAAAAATAAATACAATTGCGAGTGTTAAGTCTAAAGATACAAGCCTACTTTCTGGATTTTGTAGTGCCATATGGTTGAAAATCATAGGAAAAAAAGATGACAAGATAAAGAATTAGTCAGAAAAACTGAAAAATTTGCCCATTATACACAATTGACAATTTATGTGATTATCTCTGATTTTTCATGTCATTAATTAGTCAATGCATTGAGACCTTCTTTTTCTTGCTCACATAGGAACTTTGACAATTTGAATGACTTAAATACTTGTAATATGATATGAAAATTGAAAAATAGAAAACTATTGAGAAGTTGGTGTGATATAACATCATTTTATACTAGTTAATATACCGCATAATTAGGTTGTTTCAAGTCTAAATTATTTATCTAAATTTTGATGGATAGAATTACTAGTATTTGAACGAGGTGGAAAATTTGACATGTCTATTCAGAGGAGGCGTTGTAACACTCCGAGGTGGGTAGTTTAGGTATGGGTTGATGCCTCCTAAAGAGTAATGGATGCATGTGGAAATAGCCTCAAGCAGATATTCTGCCCATGAGCGTAATGATATAATAAGCTTGCTTGCATGAGTATTGTGAGACCTACTGGTCGAACAACGATGAAAGTTGGTCACTTGGTCATAGTTATTGGGGACCCTCGAAAGAGCTTTTCCTCAACGAATCAATACATCAACAATAACATACTAAGTGTAATTCAATAAGTGGGATCTGGAGAGGACCATGTATACAAACCCTTAATCCTACTTTGTGAAAGTGGAGTAGTTGTTTCCGATAGACTTTTGGAAATACAACAATGAAATATAGTCATGCTGAACATAATGGAGAAGAGAACACTAACAACAACACATAATATGATAGCCGAAGCAAAGAAAATAAAAAGTAATAATAAAATCGAAAAACAAGATATTATATGAATAATAATAATAATACAAATATTTTTTGTCCAAAAAAAAAACATGCAATTTTGTCTCATATCTAATATTCCGGTGGATTCGAATTATAACACGAATATACACTTAGCACTATCACTTAAAAGAATAATTTCAAGGTATATAAACTACATATTCTCGAAAATATTAATTAATCATATGTATTTTATCACCTAATTATGAGCGTCATTAGGTGGAGAAATGACTTTGTATTATATTTGACTATAATTTACTTGGTGTAGCCACAACTTTTTAAAATATTTTTTAAAATTGATCTAAAAAGAGTTGTTAGAGACATAATAATGTATGGAGTACATTGATGTAACAATTTGATGATGTTATAATCGATCACATCTAAACTTTTTCCCACTCAATGTGTAATTGGTACATTGAAGTCATTTTTCATAAAAAAATATTTTTCTAGAACATGAAAAGTGAAATATTTTTTCAAAATCAATCAATTAGAGTGTTTTTGATGAAATTTTGAGTACTAGAGTGATTAATAATGATGTTTAAGTTTTAGTTGAAATAATTAATATGAAGTTAAAATGTTAAGATAGATATAGAGAAAATAACTTCTTCGCCCATAAGTAAGTAAGAGCAGATCGTATTCAGGATTTCAAGAGGGTAATTGTACTATTATGAAATGGTGGATTTAAGATCTAAATTTAATTGGTTTGACTTAATATATAGTTATATTCTTCATCGAAGATATTGAGATCGGCTGAACCCATTCACCTAATGTTATATCATCCGGTACTCATAGTTTACCATGCAATAACATTTAGAAATTTCTAATGTGATAGACTTGAAACTTTTGAAAGATTTCACGTGTACTGAACTCAATTTTTTTTTTGTTTAAATTTTATATATGTATTAAATTTTTTTATTACACAGCGATAAATATTCGATTGTGAATTCAATTATTAAGTTGTATGTATATAAATTTTAACTCATCGCAAAATTCATAAATTTTAAATCTTAAATTATCGGTACGACGAAACACACTCTCATTATCAAACCTAAAAGTGGAAAAGGTGAAAAGGAATATTGACTTAAGAGAAACTAAAGAGAGAAATTATGACTGATGATGAAGGAGAACAAATAATTAGATAACGCGTTTTTTTGTACTGATATCAACTTTCTGGTAGTACTAATTTTCATCAAATTTTCTTGCTTTTACCGACTAGGGTTGTGTTGGAGTGGTAAGTACCTTTTTATTTTATTTTTGGATTTGAATCCATCTGAATATAGAGTCATCTTATAAAGGGAGCCTCTAAATATGGGATTTCTCGGTACGAACTCAAATTTAGTCAAACTCCAATATGAATACCGGACATCAGGTGGAAAACCAAATTTTTTGTCCCATAAAAGGAGCACCCATTTTTTTCTTTTCATACAATAATATTTTCTTTTGAAAATGTATATTTTATCATCAAAATATCCGAAAGATATCTATCTATCCATATATAAACTCCTTGTATGCAAGTTATTATAATTATGAAAACATAAATCAAGTTACATGCTATAATACATAAAGATGACCTCACGTAAATTTCTTACACTGACGATATATATAAGTTATTTTTTTTAAAAAAAATATGGAAAGTCAACGTAAAGATTATACAATGATGTTTGGTTTTACATGTATCATGAAATTGATATTTGTGCTTATTTGGTTGTCAATGTAAAAGGGGATTGTCTAAGGACTGCGCAAATGTTATTGGACACCATATTTCAATTCTTTTGCATGAAGAAATAAATAAATAAATAAAAAGTATAACAAGAGACTAGCTAGTGTATAGATGAGATAATAAAAGAGTTTTAGCCTTTTTAGGATTTTGTGTTGGTCCCATGCATGAGGCATAATGATAAAAAGTGGTAAGTGGTTGGCTAATTAGTAGATATAGTATCAAAGCTTCAACAATAATGTCTTGGTTCTCATTTTGTGTTCAATGAACTACTTTACCTTACACTATTGTGGTGGAAAAAGAGTGCTTGAAAATATCGGAGAAAAGTGAATAATGGTTAGTAATGTGTCTTGGTTAGATTGATGTGGAACATGTGATGAGTGGATCTTTGATCGATTTGGGGCATGCATGAACCAATGTGAATTGTGTGTGTAGTGGCCTAGTGGGGAGCTACTGTCAATTTTTCTTTTAAGTATCAGTTTTGCGATCATAGTACTCTTTCGAAACTCAAAAGTTGTGTTAGAAATATAGCTATTGGATTGGATCAACTCATTATAAAGGGGTATTAATTATCTCATTAATTAGCTTGTTCTCCTAAACTCTATCTATAATGTATAAATATATCATAGTTATTTTTTTTACCATGATATCACGACTAGGGTTGACTATCCAAAAGAGATAAAAACGTTTTGCATCCTTTAAAGATATCTACGTTGTGGACAAAGGAAATTTATCTATTTTGTGAGAATTCCCTGTGACCGGTGGCACGAATCATGGTTGTTGCAGATCTACTTCTGCCAAGCAATGTAATATATACGAGTGCCAATTGACTCTCCTTGAACAAAGGTTCCTCAGCGGTGTGGTTGGATATTGATAGGATTGTAGCTAGAGAACATTGAGTAAAAGCCATGAAATAGAAAATATCCCGATAGAAAATGATCCGCCCCGTCCCCCCCGTCCCCCCCCCACACACACACACAACAATAGACCTTCTCAATACATATTAATTCAAGGCTCAAATTCAGCTACCTGACACCGAGTGGGAAATCAAACATGCATGCATGTGTGCTACCGTTATCTATTTCATGAGTTGTGACTATACATATATGACCAACTTTGTTGTTGTCACTTAAGTGTATCATTTTCAATAATCACGACACATTATTTCTGTCCCTACTCCTTTCTTTCTTTTTCACATTCTTGTTGTTTTGTTAATCAATTTCACTAAATATCGCAGTTTATGTTCATACAAGAGTTTTGAGATATATATATATATATATATATGTTACGTTAGTTGAATGATAATTACACGTAACACTATTTAATAAACATTGATTACTAGGAAGTACTTAAGATATATATAACCAATTATAGCATGTCTGATAGTAATATAATGCCGCTATCAATATTATTATATAACATAAAAATAGAATAGTTCAGAATAAACGAA